TCTCTCTCTCTCTCTCTCTCTCTCTCTCTCTCTCTCTCTCTCTCTCTCTCTCTCTTTCTCTCTCTCCTCCTAACATGGCTCCCTTCTGTTCGATTCAACCTGCTCACTGTGTAAACTGACGAGAGAAACCAGTAACCAACTAGCCGTAAAAGTAACAACAGTAATGGAAAAAAATATAAATATAATAAATATCAATAATAATAAATAGTAAACTTAAAAGTTAGACGTGCTGTTTATAGAGATCGAAAAGTTGGATTAGCGATCGCAAGATCTCGTCGTATCGATATCGTACGTCCACGTTTGTGTTTATCGCGTTTATCCATGTGACGATTATACAGCCGCCTTCTTGTACTGACCGTCGCCATTTTGTTTAGAATGCTAATATATATCCTACAAACTTATAATATTCACTTGGTCGACACTCGCTCAGTTTTCAGCCAGTGTACGTTTCAATATTGTCAGTTTGAATTCCGTAAAAAAGTTTCCTCTCCGAAAAATATATTGACATCATAGACATGTTTTACGCTATAAAAAGAAAAGTTGAAGACTCTCACGCCAGAAGAAGATTTGACAGATTTTACATGCGACTTGTTTACAACACACAAAACAATTTTTTTTCACGGCCGTGAGACAAATGGGTGTACCGTGATTGTAAAGCAACCCTTCTCTCGCCCCCGTCACCACCATCTTGTTTCCACCATCTTGTACTGACCGTCGCCATCTTGTTTCCGTCATCTTGTGCTGACCGTCGCCATCTTGTTTTCGTCATCTTGTACTGGCTGTCGCCATCTTGTTTTGGCCATCTTGTACTGACTGTCGCCATCTTGTTTCGGCCATCTTGTACTGACTGTTGCCCTCTTGTTTTTGCCATCTTGTAATGACTGTCGCTATCTTGTTTCTCTCCCCGCCACCACCAGGTGTCGTGTTGGTGTACGTGGAACCGTGGGAGGCGGCGGCGGCGACGGTGGCGTTCACGCGCGACGGCAACTACACGGCGATCGTCGCGGAGAACGCCGCCCCCGGCACGCCCGTGCTGCAGGCGCGAGCGAGCGTCCGCGGTGGCGCCCTCGTGCAGCAGCCGCCGGCGATCGAGTACGCGCTGGTGGCGGGCAACGACGACGCGGCGTTCACTATACACCCCACGACGGGTGAGCATTGTCGAACCATACGTGACGATATATATATATTTCTTCTCTGTTTCGTTTATATACATATATATATATAATGTTAAAGGTATAATATATTAATATACATACATACGAACGTCACGTAAATATGCAGCGTAAAAATGAGCAA